AAAAAAAATCAATAGGTATAGGGAAGGAGGGGAGCAGGCAGAGCTCTGGGGTTGTGGGGATGCCACCGAAAAAGACGCAGCGCCACCCAATCAGCATCGACGATGACGAGGCGATTGACTTCTCCGCCGTGGTGAAGACGTCCACAGCGGGACCGGCTGTCCCGCCTGTGCTGCTGCAGGCCGCAACTGCAGATGCCGCACAGCAACAGCAGCAGGAGGCGGCGCCGGCGCTGCAGGCGGTCGACCCGCGGCTTAACGCGTACGTCCATCGCGCCGCCCCACGCCGCCGCATTGCGTTTGGCGGCCCCTCTCCAGCCTCAGCGCCGGCTGCACCTGCCGAGTCAGCCGCCAAGACGGCGCCCTCGATCGACTCCAACAGCAGCAGCGGCAGCAAGGCTCTGCTGGATGCCTTGTGGCGCGAGGAGGCAGCGCGGCAGGAGGGTGAGTCGCAGCGCTCCCGTCGTGAGTCATACGAACAACAACTGGAGGCACATTGGCGCGGCGGAAGCACTTCGGGTGCCGCTGCTACGGGTGAGAATGCTGCGGCGCCGCACCAGATTTATTCCTTCTTGGATCAGTTCTTTGAAGACGGCGTGCCTGACGTCGAGCCGTGGGATATGTGGGCGCTGTCGCTGCCGCGCTACGGTGCAGCGAACATCGCGGCGCCTGTGCTCGATCGTGTGCATCATCCCGTGCTGCAGGAGACGCACTACTCGCAGCACTATCTGCACCGTGCAGAGGAGCGGCCGGTTGAGGTGAAGGTGGCGAAGGGGCGGGATGAACTCCGCGCTGAGCGGCGCGAGCGGCTGCGCAAAGAGAAGGAGGAGCGGGATCGCGCAAAGCGAGCGGCGCAGCAGCAGGGACTACTACAAGACGGGGGTACGCTAACAACGACCGGTGCTGGTGCGAAGGACCGTCTGACAAACAGCAACCTCCGCTTCAATCTCTTCGGCGACAGCGTGCTGAATCCTCTAAGCACCGAGAACAAGGTTTACTCGCAGTACCAGGAGCGGTTCCTCGAGCACCAGCGGCGCAATCACGAGCGGCACGTGGCAGCGATCCCGCAGCAGATTGAAAAGTGCAAGCGCGACAGGATACGACACGCTGAGGAGCGGCCGGTGATACGCGCATACCGCATCTACCCCATCTATAGCCCGGCGCATCTGGGGAAGCTGCGCAACTTCGCGAACGACGGCCTGTTGCGTGGCTTTGTGCTGTGGGTGGGCGGCTGCGACGCGCTTGTGGTACTGACGGGCGGCGAGGTCGCGCTGCGGCACGTGGAGCGTTGGGTGCTGGAGAAGATGCGCTGGGAGTCGCCCGAGACAACGGCGGTGCGGCTCATGACGTGCCCGCTGCACGACGCCGCGACGTTCTCCTTCGCGTCGTCGAAGAGCCGGAAGCGCCGGCGGCTGCCGACGAGCACCGCGGCGAGAGAAGCAGAAGAGGCGGAGAAGGGGGAGAATGAGGGGGCCGAGCACGTCTATATGAACTTCGTCGATAGCGTGCAGGAGGGGGTGGACTTTCTGCGCACGGTGCCGACGGAGGGGCCGTGGCGGGACCTCACGCACGTGTGGCGCGCCGCTCTTGCGGCTGGTGTGGGGCGCGGCGCATGATGCGTGCAGGTCTGCGGTGGGACGTTTTGGCGCTGCGCTGGGCGTCTCCGTTCTGCGTTGGTTTCTACCCCGACAACTAATGCGGCTGCTGCCGCCACTGTTATTATTGTTTCTCGGTGGTAATTGCTGTGCGTTTTGTGGTTGGTGTCTGCTAAGGTGTTTCACTCGTTGCTTTCTCGACTATGTCTGTGCGCATGACTCCCGCTCCTTCCTTTTGCTACTCGGCCGCTAATGGAAACACAACGCAGAAGGTATAATTCTATTAAATACCCCACACAAGCCAAAACAAACAAACACCAATCACACCGCTACAGAAGAAAAGATGTTCTCATATCCCCAGTTTTCTCTCACAAAGCCCATGTACGACATGGACACCTATACGGGACGCTCCCTATACTTCTTTTCGTCTATCAACCCGCTGCTATGCTTCGCGACGGAGCGGTCGCTGCGCCAGAAGCAGCAGCTGCTGGACCGCGTGGCCGCCGGCGAGAAGGTGGAGGCGAGCAACAAGGAATTGTGGAAGGCGCGCACAGCAGTAGAGAACTGCATCCACCCCACCTCCGGGGAGGTGATTTTCCCACTGTTCCGCATGTGCGCCTTCCTCCCGATGAACAGTTTTATTGTTCCTTTTATGATGACACCCGGAACCATCAGCAGCGTTCCGCGGACCATCTTCATCCAGTGGTTTAACCAGAGCTACAACAGCGCTGTGAACTACGCCAACCGCTCATCCGATAAACAGCCCATCTACGAGCTCTCGAAGGCGTACGCGGCAGCGGTAGGTATCTCCGTCAGCGGTGCGCTGGGGGCGACGGCGGCGCTCAAACGCGTGCAGGGTGGCACCTTGCAGGCGACGGTGATCCGTGCGTCTCTGCCAGCCGTTGCGGTGTCTGCTGCTGCCATTGCGAACCTCTCGCTGATGCGCAAGAACGAGTGGATGTCGTCAGGCCAGGGCCTGAAGGTGGTTGATGAAGACGGCGAGGTGCGCGGGTACAGTACCGCCGCTGGCATGGACAGCCTCAAGAAGTGCTCCGTCACTCGTGTCGTGTGGAACATCCCGTCGATGGTTCTGCCGACGCTGCTGATGGCGCCCCTCACCACCCGCTTTGCCTTCGCGCGTGCGTGGCCGATCTTGACAGAGACGGTGCTGCAGATTGCCGGTCTTGGCGTCGGCGTGCCGCTGGCGCTCGGTGCGTTTAGCACGACGGTGCAGATCCCCGCCAGCCGCCTTGAACCTGCTCTGCAGGGGCTCACGCGTAAGGACGGCACCCCGGTGAAGACATTCACATACTATAAGGGACTGTAAGGAGAGGTGGAGGGGCGGCAGTAGCGAGTGTGTTTGTGTGTGCATGGCCTCCCATGCACACACGTTGGGGGCTTGGTTGGCTGCAGGGGTGTGAACGGGGTGCGACGAAAGACGCCAGTAAAACACGGATACACTTTACACTGTGGGTGGAGAACAAACTTACATTACGCTCCACGGTACGGTTATATTAGAAGGTCGGAGAAACGGAAATAAATCGTACAGATAACTATTGTTCTGGCCTAAGGCCACACTGAAAGGTGCGTTGATATTTCTTTTTTTTTTTTAATGCAGATTTCTCTATCCCACTTTGTTTATGACCGTACCATATCTCCTTCGCAGCTGCCACCTTCATTCGAGGCCCTGGACGCTGCCGTATTCCTGTAGAAAAAATAAAAATATCTGTTGATTGTGTGTTCAACAACAAAAGAAGACGAATGGTGAACAATGCCTTTTTTTACCCCCCCCCTTTTTTTTTCGTAAATCTTTCCTTCTTTTTTAATTGGTACGACATCGTTTTTCCCTGCTGCTGGGCTTGCTGAGCTGCTGCTGCTGCTGCTGCTGTTGTGTGGTTTCTCCAGTGCCTGCGACGTGCTTCCGCCTGTTTCCCCTTCCTTGGCCTCCACTACTTCCGCCACGGCTGCTGCTGCTGCTGGTTCGGCGAAGGAAGCTCTCCAGGCTGCCCTGGGCTAACACCAACAACAACAAGAACAAGACGAAATTAGAGGCCCACCATGGCGTCTTGCACAAACGACTGCGTGGGCAGCCGGCCAACAGACAGCACGAACGCCAGCCCAAACGCTCTGCTGGCCGACAGCCGCTTCCGAGTAAAGCTGTGCGATACGGCGGCGCCACCGCTGAGTGATGGGGCGGCCGGCGTGGGGGACTCTCCTGCACCGTCTCAGTACCTCGTTCCGATCGAGGCGACAACAGCTGCGGTGGAGTTTAGCACTAAGGTGTCGCTGGTTAATGCCCTTTCAGGCGCCTATACTTCGAGTGGCTACCCCTCTGTTATCAGCACAAGCGGGGCACGCCCTTCAGTCTACGGAGCGTTCGTTGAGCTGCGGAACCCCTCGTTGCAGAGCGTAACGCTGCCACCTGAGGTGACGGTTGTGACTGCAGCCGTGCCACGGCGCGGAAATGACGCCTCCACAAGAGAGGCGTATGCGCCGCTGGGTGTTAACACAAATTCTGGGGAGCAGCAGCAGCAGCAGCAGCCACTGCTGCGTGTGGTATGGCGACGCGGGTCGCATCTGTTCAACACGGAGTTGGCAGCCCAGGGCACCGCCTCGCCAACGACACCGCGGCTCGAAAGTCCAAAGTCCTCTCCTGTTGTTCTTCCCAAGTCTGCACTGAACTCGGTCATACATCACCTGCGGCAGTATCCTGACGGCATCCACGATGTGCAGACGTCACAGCGTCTCGATGAGTTGCTTTTGGGCCTACCGCCAAGCCCTCCCCTACCTAACAGTGGCAACGATGCCGCAGATGACAACACGACCAAACGTGACACCAACGACAACAACAGTACTGATAAAAACAAGGATGGTGAGAACGTATCGGCGGCAACTTCTACGGCGTCTGCAAAAATACCTGCTGAAGAAGAACCTACTGGAGATGCACCGGTGCAGCTGACGCTTGTTACGGCCAGTAGCTTCAATCACCTTGGTGTCTATGCCGTCAGGCACCAGGAGGGGCGGCTTCTAGCGTCTGTCCCACTGCAAACACTCACCGCTTCCCTATCGACACGTAAGATCACAGCCCACTATATTTTCCTTCTCTGCGCAGATGTTGACGGAGCGTATGTGGCGCCCGGCGCGTCGTCGGTTGTATTGCCGTCTGTTCTGCAAGAGGCGGAGCGGCAGTCGTCCAAGAAGACTAAACAAACACGCGGGCCTTCTTCAACATCTGCCGCGTCGTCTTCGGCAGCGGGGATGACGCTACAGTTTGAAGATGTTCAGGTGGAGAATAGGTCTGGATGTGATACCAATGCGATGCGTGTCGCGACGTTATATGTTGCGTTTGAGCCGTACATGCTCGTTGGAAACCAAAACGGCGACATCCTTCTTTTTAGCATTTTCGAAAGGAAGGTTGTTCAGCGTCTAAACTACGGTGGTGGCGCGGTTGGGGCAACCAACGCGGACACTGCAGTACGGACGCAACGGCAGCTCGTGAGCAGCTCCGTGTCGTGCATTGCGCAGGTAGAGTACGGCGTTGAGAGGCGTCTAGCGACCGTGATTGACGGAGCGCTGTCTTGTAGAATACGTGGTGGCAGTTCCTTCACAATTCCCACTGTCGGCGCGACAGGCGCCCCGCCGTCTGTGTTTGCCGTTGGCTTTGACAATGGCCACGTGCTTTTAGTAAATGTGACGCTGGATGGGGCAAGGATAAGCAGGCACATCACATCGTTTGGGCATAAGGTGGTGCAGGGGATTGCGATGCGTGTACCGAGCTTTTTCACGCGGTTATGGCCGACGAACACCCCGACGAACTCCAAATCTTTGACATTGTCTGTCTCCCAGCAGCAGGAGGAGGAGGAGGAGTATTCGTTGGCGCCCGGCATGGTGACGGTGCCGTCGGAGGCCCTTCTCATTGACGAGGACACCAATATTGCAGCTGTCTCCTGCGACGGCGGCGTGCTGCGTCTCGTCAGGGCGCCAGAGCTGGAACAGGAGGTGTGCCGCACCACTGCACTCAGGAGTAATGCGGTTGGTGACTTCTTGGCGCTGCAGTGGGTGCCAAGCTGCGCCGACGCCGTGCTGCGCCCGGACCTTCTCATCGGCACGAATGAAGATGACTCCATCACGGCGTATCAACTGCACCAGCTTGGTGGCAACGGCACGTGGGGACCAACGCAGGGCATGCACTCGTACTTTGAAGAAGTGGAGTCGTCTGTCGCCGCCGCCGTTGCTGCTGCTACTGGTGGTGTTTCTCCGCACTTTTGCCACGACAGGTCCCCTCTTACTTCATCGCAGGGGGTGCGGGACGGCCTTGTTTTTCTCACGCGGCGCAACTTCCACCGCTCCTGGGTGAGTGACTTGTGCGCACTGCCGCTACCCGACGGTTACCTGCTGACTGCGACGTCGTACGACAGCCGGACCTCCTTTTGGCCGCTGCCCTACCGCTCCCTGGCTCCCACGCCGAGTCTATGCCTGTCACCCCCGCCGCCGCTCGCGCTTGATCCATTTCTCCAGCAATGCTTCTCGGGTTGTATTGTTCAGGACGTCAGCGTTGCAACCGGGGATCCGCAGACTGTTGGTGGCTGGGATCTGTCGGCAGAGCCGGCAGCCGCGGTGACGCTGCACGCCGACCCGACGGTTCGCTGCACCATTGGCGGTGCTGGCAAGAGTTTTTTTTTGGTCTCTCTGTGCCTTCGAGGACGGCTGAAGTTTTGGGAGGTGAAGCCACTGCTGGGTTAATATGACTATGATTGCACCCCTCGCCCTGAATCATTTCGCTTTTTGGTCTCTCTCACTCTCTTTCTCGTCACCACACGCTTCGTAGTTCCTCTTCCCCCCCCGTAGGAGCCCCCGTTCACTCCGGTATTTTATTATTATTATTATCTCGCCTATCACCCCCGCTTTGCCGTTTCCTTTTGTTCCCATGCTCATTTGCTACACTGTCCCTCCCAAGAGGGGAAGAAAGTTGGAAAGGAAGAGTGAATAACGAGAAGGTCTTTGTGTATGCGCGCGTGTGTGGGGATGCCGCACCGGCGGCTGGTTGCAGAGTGGGTAGCGGCGTCCCTGAGCTCTGCGGTGCGGCGCCGAATCACGCTCGTGCCGTGCCGCAGCAGTGTGCTGCACGGCGCCGCCGCCACTGCGGCGGTTGCAACGCAAAGGCGTGCATACATGCCGCTACCGAATGATCAAAGTGACTTCTCACCGTACATTGAGATTGATCTGCCGAGTGAGAGCCGTATTCAGGCGGTGAACAAGAGCGGCCTTGGCGCGCAGGAGTGGGTGGCGTGCGAGAAGGTACATGGCACCAACTTCGGCATCTATCTCATTCACCAGGACGACAAGGAGGTGGTGCGTTTTTCCAAGCGTAGCGGCATCATGGACCCAAATGAGAATTTCTTTGGCTATCACATACTCATTGACGAATTTACGGCACAGGTTCGCATTCTGAGTGATCTTCTTAAACAGAAGTACGGCCTGAGCAGGATCGGCCGCGTGGTTCTCAACGGCGAGCTCTTCGGCGCCAAGTACAAGCACCCGCTTGTCCCTAAAAGCGAGAAGTGGTGCACGATGCCTAATGGAAAGCGTTTTCCGATTGCCGGTGTGCAGATCCAGCGTGAGCCATTCCCGCAGTACAGCCCCGAGCTTCACTTCTACGCCTTCGACGTCCGGTACTCCGTGAGCGGGGCGGAGGAGGACTTTGTACTACTCGGCTACGATGAGTTCGTGGAGTTCTGCAGCAAGGTGCCGAACTTACTTTACGCCAAGGCGCTGGTGCGTGGGACGCTGGACGAGTGCCTTGCCTTCGACGTGGAGAACTTCTTCACGCCGCTGCCGGCACTGCTAGGCCTCGGCAATTACCCGCTGGAGGGCAATCTCGCAGAGGGCGTCGTCATCCGCCACGTGCGCCGCGGCGACCCGGCGATTGAGCGGCACAACGTTGCTACGATCATGAAGCTGCGCTGCTCGAGCTTCATGGAGCTGAAGCACCCGGGCAAGCAGAAGGAGCTGAAGGACACATTCATCGACACGGTGCGAGCGGGCGCCTTGCGACGCGTGCGCGGCAATGTGACGGTCATCGCGGACTCGATGCTGCCACAGGTGGAGGCGGCGGCGAACAACCTGCTGCTCAACAACGTGAGCGACGGTCGGCTTAGCAACGTTCTCTCCAAGGTCGGGCGCGAGCCGCTGCTGTCCGGCGAGGTGTCGCAGAGTGATGTGGCGCTCATGCTCGCTAAGGACGCGCTAAAGGATTTCCTCAAGGAGGTGGACGCTCTGGTGCTGAACACGAGCCTCGCCTTCCGCAAGGCGCTCATCTCGAACGCCTACTTCGAGTCAAGGCGGCTCGTGGCACAGAAGTGGAAGGAGTTAGTGCGTGAAGAGGCGGCCGCACAGAAGGAGGCGGACTCTGCGGCGCTGCAAGAGACACAACCGAGCGTGTGAGGATGCCTGCGTCTCTGCGGCTCTCTCTCTCTCTCTCTGTGTGTGTGTGTGTGTGTGTGTGCGTGATTGTGCGCAATACTTCTCTTCACAGGTCTATGGCTTGGAACCGTCGTGTGACGTCTAGCCATCTTCTTCGATACCACTGCTCTCTTTGGGGGGGGGGCGTATATCTGTGGCTGCCTCCTTGCTCCTGCTGCAGGTGCCTCTCCCCCTTTCTTGCACTTTCTCGCTGTCTCACAACAAGCGTTGCTGCAACGGAAGCGGTGAGTGGTGAGAGAGTCACCATGAAAATCCGAGCGGGCGCGGCAGTGCCACCTGCGCCGCAGTCCGTTGTGAAGCACATGGAGGAGCAACCAGCCGCTGCAGGCACCAAGTCTAGCGGCGGCATAGGTGGTAGGCGCATGAAGTCAGGTGTGGGAGGGGAGCGCGAGACGAATCACGGCGTTGGTGTCTTCCTGCTCTCCACCCACCGTATTCCGCACGCGTTGAAACCGCAATCGTCAACCACATGGGTATCGACCAGGCTGGTGGAGCAGTGCGTGGAGGGCTACCGGGATGCACTCTTACTTGCGCGTGAGTACGGACAAAAGACGGAGGCCGAGCGGATGCAACTCCGCATGCATTTGCTTAGGTTTCAGCAGCAACATCAAACCGGTGACAGCGTTGATGAGAATGGTCCGTCCCCGCCTCTGATTGTCGAGAGGCAGCTATGGGAGTTCATGCTGCGCAAGAAGGACACACACCCGGCTCTTCTCTCCGAGTCCCTGCGCTATCAGCAAATACTGCAGGACATGAACCACTTGGCACGAGGACTACTTGCCCCTGTAGATATCCTGCGCCACCGCAACTCCTGGCTGTTGCTGCTGGAGGATGTTCAACTCAATTTAGCCGACCGTCTTTTTCACTATCGTGTTGTCGTGCGTCGCTCGCCACCGGCTGCGTTGGCGGAGCGGTTGTGGCGCGATCTTTGGTCGCTGCTCGGCGCGGCGTGGCGGCAGCGAGAGCGGCTGCTGGGAGTCTATGCGGAGGGCATTCCACCGGTCAAACTTGACGGCGACGCCTCGCAGCTGCCACCACCCATTGCCGCCTCCCCTGCACTACGCGACGCGTACCGCGAGAGGCAGCGCGAGTACCACAGCCGCCACGCTGGGAGCGAGCCGTGTGTGCGATGCGGCGTGACGCGGCATGAGGAGGACGTTTACGCCTTTGGACCTCTGCTGCCGCACCGCGTGGGCGTCACAATGTCCCGCCGCTACGCCATCCGTGCGCCTCTGCTCGCTGTTCTCCGCTCGCTGAGGGTACAGGTGTGGGAGACACAGCCTGCGAAGCCGCGGGGTAGCTACAACGCCAGCGTCAGCAGCGCGGGTGCTGTTAATAACGTAGGGACCACGGTGCCCAGCAGTAGCGTCACAAACCATTTTGACTCCTTGGTAGCGGCTGATGTGGGCGTGGGGTCGCGTAGCGTGGCCTTCTTCGACCCCACCGCGGAGGATGTGGAGGCGTGCCGAGTGCCGTACTTGTCGCCGCAGCATTACACTCGACTTCGAGGAGAAGGCGCACGTGCTGCGCATGACTGGGACGGTGCTGCTATTGCGCACACCTTCTCCGACGATGCATGGAATGCTGCCGTGCTGACGGTGGAGTTTATGCTGGCTGGGTTTCCACTCGGCGGGAGTTGCTGCGGCCACTGTGACCACCATGTCCCGCCGACGGGTGCGCTGTTTGAGGATGTTGTGCAGCTACTTGTGGTGCACCACGGCACCCCGCTAGAGGCGGCGCAGAATTTCATCTACGCCGCACTCCACGAACTCTCGTTGCTGCTGCTTGCATCCCCAGCCACCCTGAGGCTTGGTGAGAAGGGCCGCACACAAAGTGGGCCCTCACCGCAGGGTTTGGCAGAGCAATGGTACCGCTATCTCCACGAAACGTATGAAAAAAGCGAGAACATCACTTTTCTGCGTGAGGTGGCTGAAAATGGTTTGCGATGGTCGCAGTGCGAGCGGTGGGAGGCGTTTCAGACTGCGCACGCGCATGTTGTGCATGACAGTGCCGTCAGCAGTGAGGACAATACCAGTGTTTCGCGGGATTCCGCGCAGCGTGTGCTCGATGGGTTGATGTGTCCCTTCTTACCGCTCTACCCCATGCTGTCTTCCGCGGCTGCAATGTGTGGTGTTGATGTGGAGTCGTTTATGCCAGAAGTATCATTGCCACCACCGCCGCTCGATCCTTCCTTGTGGGAACTTCACATGCAGCTGCAGTTATGGAGGAAAAGTATCGAACGACACATTATCTTGGACAGCGGTTGCAGAAAAGAGAGTGAGACGAGACGAACCATTTTGTTTAAGCATTTCTTCCGTGTGATACGTCGGGCAATACAACTTCGCCTGCAGAAGGATGAGACTGAAAAGATATCAGCCCGTGGAAGCAGTGCTGCTGCTGCTGTAGCTCATACCAATACATCACCTACACAGTTGGTTGCTCCTCTGTCTCACGCAAAGCAATATGGATTACTTCTCGAGTTGATTGAACGTGGTGCCCTCTTTTCGTACCGCAGGAATGGCTGCTTGGCGCGTATTAGCAGCAGCGGCGATGACAATATGGGTGACGACTCCTTCCAAGTGTTTCCCCTTTCGCATGTGTTTCTTCCGCTGAGAGATGTGGTGTCACTGCTCCGTGACGATGTGACATCACTGACTGTGTCGTCGTCGTCGTCGTCTGCGGCGGCAGTGTCCATTAACGCGCTCGACAGCATTGTGGGTGTGAAGCATGCTGCCACACGTGACCTGCCCTCTCCTCTCCCATCAGCAGCAGAGGCGACAACAACAACAACAGCTGCAGCGGGGAAAGGATTTCTGGTCACGACAAAGGCTACCATCCGTGCGGTGGATTTGAGTGTGGCGGCGCAACTCACGCTGGTGACAGACCTACGCAGCCTGCTGCTCACCACACCGGCTGTGAGGCGTGCATCTTTGGTGCGACGCTATCTGATCGACGCGCAAATTGTTGCCGGTGCTGCTGAAGTGCCAGTCCCTGCGATTATCCGCGGAGTGGTGTGGGGCGCGCTGCTGCTGGTACCGCCAGAGTCGGCTCGTGTGTCGGTGTACCACGCGCTGAACACCGCGCGCCCCTCCGCTGCAGACCGACAGCTGGCGGTAGACATCCCGCGCTGCCACCAGTACCACCCACTCCTCGCGTCAGTGGAAGGAAACGAGCGGCTGGGGCGCATAATCAAGGCGTGGCTGCTGCTGAACCGTGGGCTTACATACTGGCAGGGCATGGACAGCGTTTGCGCCATCCTTCTTGCTGCTTCCTTTACGGATGAGGCGCTTGTGGCAGCTCAGCTTGAGAAACTTACACTGCATTACATACCACACGACACCGTGACCACCTCTTCCACACGGGCCAAGAGTATGGAGGATCACTTGCACCAGTTTACCGTGCTGCTACGGTACTGCGATCCCCTCTTGGCGGTGCACCTCCTGGACGAGGTAGAGTGTCTGCCGGAGCTGTTTGCAATCAGTTGGTTTCTCACCCTCCTCGCACATGGCCTGCCGGTGGGAAAGACATATCTTCTGTGGGACTTCCTCTTTGTATACAGCGACGCGTACCCACACTGCTTGACCGTACTCTGCCTTGCGGTGCTGCTGCAGCACCGTGAACGTCTGTTGAGGAAAGATCTCTCTGTTTGCCTCACAACGTTGCGTCGTGTGCAGGGCATCGATGTCAGTCTCGTCTTGCGTGACACGGCAGCTATTTTGCGCGCCGTGCCGCCAGCCGTCGCGCTACTGCCGTATCACTCGGCGGAGTGGGGGGCGGAGGTGCGATGCTGCAATGTGTCTCGTATGGACGTGCCGACTATTCTGAAGGCGTTCCGCGGTGCAGCGCGGTGCGGGGCTGCGCAACACGTCGATGATGATAGCGACACTGAAGCAGAAGTGTGGGCGCAGGCCGGTGTCTTTCTTGTCGATCTCCGCACGGAGCGAGTCACTGCCGCCCTCCCACAGCAACTTGCGCGCACAGAGGAGCGTGTCGTTGGGGCGCTGCTGTTCCCCCTGGCGGCTCCCTCCGCAGATCTCTCCACCCCGGAAGCGGAGTTGACGCAGCGGCTGGTTGGGCAGCACGCCACGGAGCTTCTGCTGCAGACACGCAACGCGGCGATGGCCGCAATTCCGCCGTCGCCGTCTGCGAAACAAGGAGGCGGAGGGAGTGACAACTCCTCCGCTGCTGTCAGGGAGTGCACGACATCTCCCCACATTGTGCTCTTCACCCAAACGGTGATTCCCACGGAGACGGCGGTGGCGGAGTCGCTTGCGCTGGAGTTAGTGCGGTGCGGTGCGCCCAATGTATCCATTCTGCTTGGTGGCTTTGCGCAGCTTAAGTGCGAGGCCCCGCACCTCATCGTGGAGGTGGAGAAGGAATGATGTGCGCCTCGTTTTGGATCCAATTATTTATTTAATTTTTTTTTTTGATTTGGGGGAAGATGGTACTTGAATTGGCTGTCTGTATATGAGTGCGTATGAGTTGTCACGTGTGTTATTAGTTCCTTTTTTTTGCTTTGTTTGCTGCCTTGCCTGTTTTGTTGCAAACGCGGTGCTAAGATACACGCGAGCAAACAAGAAAAAAAGAAAGGCACACACACTTGGGCGGGATGGTGTGTATTCTGTGCACCGATGGAGCCGCCAAGACGTGCACAGTGGAGATGGAAGCAACAGATCTCGTGGAGGACCTACAGGTAATGATAGAGGTGGAGTTGGGCATCCCAGTCGGACAGCAACAGCTCGTGGCCGCCAACGGCATGTTACTTCGCAGCAATGAGACCCTTGCGTCGCAGGGGATAGTGTCCGATACTAGCGTAACGGTGCGCTGCCGAGCAGAGCAGTCACAACCACAATTGCAACAACCGCCGCCGCCGCAGCAACAGCAGCAGCAGCAACCACAATTGCAACAACCGCCGCCGCCGCAACAGCAGCAGCAGCAGCACCAACAACAAGGGGGAGGCCATATTCCTCTCGATCAGGCGCGTGCCCTCATTCGTAACCTCTTCACGAGCAGGTCGGCGCGACCACAGCAGGAACCGCATGGGCTGCCGCTCAATGAGAGTGACCCAGATTTCCAGCGCCGCCTCTACGAGGCCATCCAACGGCGCAATGTGGATGAGAACTTTGCTAATGCGCTCGAGTTCACGCCGGAAGTCTTCGCACAGGTCACAATGCTCTATGTGGACTGTGAGATCAACAAGGAGAAGGTGAAGGCGTTTGTTGACTGCGGTGCCCAGGTTTCCCTCATGAACGTGCGCACAGCTGAGCGGTGCGGGCTTATGCGGCTCCTTGACCCCCGGATGAAGGGACTCATGCGGGGTGTAGGGGAGCAGGTGTCGCTTGGCCGCATTCACATGGCGTTGGTGAACCTCGGTGGCCTCCATATACCCATCTCCCTCTGTGTGCTGGAGAACCAGAGTATGGATTTCATTATTGGTCTTGACCAGATGAAGCGGCACCACATGATCATCGATCTAAAGGAGAACTGCCTGCGCGTGGGGACGACGGCAATCACGTTTCTTTCAGAGGCCGAGCTGCCTGCATTCGCACGCCTGGGGGCGGGAGAGAGTGATTGTGAGCATGAGAAGGTGGAGGAGGGTAGTTCATCTTACAACGAGGTGACGGCAACAAGAGAGCCGCAATTAACTGCAGCACCATCTGGTGCGGCGGAGGTTTCCGCCCCAACGGCGGTTAACACTAGTAGTGGTAGTGATGCAGGTGCCGATCGCGAGGCTGCAATTGGGGCGCTGATGTCGCTAACTGGAATCGACCGAGAGAGGGCAATTCTAGTTCTGGAAGCCGCCGGCTGGGATGCAAATGTGGCTGTGTCGCTCCTCTTTAATGAGTGAGCTGGCGTGCTTGTGAATACAAGGAAGGGGAAGGCTGACCTGGTGTGTATCTGCCACTGTGCACAAGAGTTTTGTTTTCTTACACCTCCTTCCTCATATAGGTACGGCTGCTATTCGTGTGACTCTTCCTTGTGGTAGTGACATGTGATGTTTTATACACATGTCTACGTACCTACATATTATTTAAATTCTTTGATTCCTCCTTGCTTGCACTTCTTTTTCTTATCTAGGGGACAGGTTAGGGATCGCTGTGCCACTCTCCACTTCTCATTCGCACTCACTCTTTCCCCCAGCGTGGTATTCCACAAGAATGCCGCATAACCCTAGTGTGAAAGCCGGTCGCACGGCAGCACAGTCACGCTGCACGCTGAACGCCATCCCTCCTGCTGCGTTGGGGGGCAAGGAGCAACTGGTGCCTGCGCCTGGGTCTCGGCGGTGCGTCGAGGCTGCGGCTCCCATGCCAGAGCTCAACCTTGACGAGACGATCCGCATTCGCGGCGTATTCTCGGAGCTCGGCCATGAGGAGTCTATCACTAACAAATTTGATCTGCGCGTCTTGCTGGCGGAGTTGGGCATATACCCGTCTGACGATGAGCTGACTCTCTTGCTGGAGGCCTTTGAGTGCAAGATAACCTTCACCAACCTGTGCCACTACCTGCGCTTCTACAAGCGCGAGTTTCAAATATCGGCACAGCAGCGCCGCGGCAATAATCCAGCGGGTCCGGCACAAGACGACAGCGAAGACACACTGCGCGCGTTCATCTCGCTCGGCGGTGGGGAGGATGGCACGGGTACTGTCAACGTGGAGGATCTGCGGGAGGTGTGCCGAAACTTTGGCCTCACCATTGACATTGACGCTATGCTGAACAATGTGGTGGACACGGAAAGCCAGAGCACGCTCAACTACACGGAGTTCTGCGATATGTGGCAGTCGCGGCGCCGCCGGAGCGAGTTTGGCTCACTAGCGTCGGTGCAGGAAAGCGCGTTTGACACCCGTGGCAGCCTGCGCGCCCTCGCCCTCGGCTACTCAGGTCAACTGAAAGGCATCGCCGGTAGGTCGGACGCGAGCTCCACCCTGCAGGCCCGCCCCACCGTGAAGGAGGAAGACATCGATATGTACCACTTCCCACAGTCGCAACGCGACCAATCGCAGACCGGTTGTCTGCCGCACTCGGAAGAGGAGCATCTGCAAGCTCTGCAGCGCTTCCTCTTCCCGGAGGTGTCGGCCAGCGTCGTGTCGCCCACCTGCGGCGCTGCGGCGCGACGCAAAGGCGGCCGCCGCCCTTCGGG